GGCACGGAGCCCCTGGAGGACGCGGCCCCACTGTTGGGGACGGCGGTACCGCGGTCCGGCTGCCCCCGGCTGGCCCCAGCGAGGAGGGGGGCGTTGCCGGTGGGTGTATGGGGGCTGCTGCTGTAGGTCCCGGAGGTCCAGCCAGCACTGCGGGTACCGGGGCCCGGCTGCCGAGGGGATGCTGCTGTAGGTCTCCGGGGGAAACTGGCTGCCGAGGGGATGCTGCTAGAGGTCACCGTGGGCCTGGGCGGCCATGGGGTTGGCCCAGTGAGGACTTAGGGGGCCACCGGCCGGGGGGCTGGCAGCCCACCGTGCCAAGGGGCCTCATCTGAAACTGTCTGTTTGCTAGGGATTTGCAGCTGGCGCTGCACTCCGGAGTGGGTGTCACAATGGCAGCGTGGGCAGACATCAAAGAGGAGAGCTAACGAATTCCCTGTTATCTCTGCCCATTGACAGCTCAACTAGAGCGGAGAAATGCCAAACAGGGGGAACAGAGGCTCTCCCGGGAGGTGAAGGAGGGGGTGCTCACAGCTGGGGCCGTGGTGAGGGGTGCGGTGAGGGAATGCGGTGGCTGGGCACAGGGCTCTTGTCAGGCAGGAGAGCAGCCAGCCCTTCCCTCAGCACCTGAGCGATGCTGAAGGCAGCGCGGGGCCCTACCAGCGCATCTGCTCAGGCTGCAAACACAGCACGGCCGGATGATGGTGGCACAGGGGCCCTGACAAAACAAGGGAAGTTTTATCTGTCTCCCAGTCCCTGCCCTGAGCACCAGCCCAAGCTTCAGGCAGAGGAAATAGAAGCAGAGCCCTGGGGTGGCTGGCAGGCAGCCCCTGTACTCCAGAGTGTGGCAGGGACCCGAGGCGGAGGGCTCATCTCCCCCACACATACAAAGCTACAGATCCTGTAGCTTTTGGGGGAACATGCTGCTCCCATGGTTCAGAGCAGCCCTGCCAGACCACCCCCCAGAGCAGTGGGGTGCACCCTGCCCAGGCAGCACCACAGAGCCAAATGACACCCCTTGAGGAGGGTGAGGTGTGTGGACTCTCCCATGTGCACACACAGATGCAGGCTCTCATGCATGCACTTGGATGCCCACATCTTTCTGCACCCCCCAGGAACACCCAGTTACCCCCAGGCGCACACCCAGGCACACTGCACATGCTCACACACCCAGGTGTGTCCCCAGATGCCCCCAAACCCAGGACCGTCGTCCCATCTCCTTCCGGGGCTGTGTGTCACGGCCGCGTCAGGGCAGGCCTGCCCGCCTTGCAGCGCCCTGCCAGTTGCCATGGCAATGCTACGCCTGCCAGGAGATGAAGTTTGCTCTCCCATGCCGCAGCGAGGGGCCGAGAGCAGCTGGGGGTGGCCCAGCTGTCCTTGCTACCCAGGTTCTGCCCATCTATCTGCACCCCAGCGATGTCTACCCTCTGGCTGCACCGACCCAGCCCAGTCACTGGACCCTTGGTTCTGAGTTACAGCTGCCTCACAAACCATGGACCCACTGTCTGCAGGACCAGGGCATGTGTCAAGGAGGGTCCTTTGGTGGAATATCTTCACACCATCATGGGGAGCCGCCTTCTGCCAGCTGTACTACCCAGGAGCAGGCCTTGCCCAGTGGCAGGCAGGACACAGAGAGCCTGGACCTCCCCACACAGAGTCTGGGCCTGTCTGTTGTGCCCACAGACCCCAGCATCTCTGGAGCCCACTGGGGCCTGCCAGCCCCCCCATGCAGAATACACACCCTCATGGGTTTCCCAGTTTTACCCAGAGCAGGGACAGACCATGCTGGTTTCCATGCAGAGGGAACAGGTGCTGCCATGCTGTGTCATGCCATGCCATGCCATGCTGTGTCATGGTTCCCAGCAGGGCAGAGGTGGAGGGGGGCTGGCGTAGCTGATGGTATCCCAGGCAGTAGAAGCAGGGACAGCAGGAACTCAGGGCAGCCCCAAACCAATGTGTGGCCCTGCTGCCCCCCCAGCCCTGTGTGTGGGGCTGGCAGGGTGCCTGCAGCAACAGGGCTCTGGACCTTCTGCTCCATCTGCTGAGCCCCTCGGGGCTATTTTTAGGCTGCCTGGCAGCAGGGGCATGCACAGCTGCTGCCAGAGCTGCCTTTACTCCCCTGACTGGGTCCTCCCCTGTGCCTGGAGCAAGGTGGGCACTGACCTGTCCTGCAGACAGACTCCACAGACTTCCCTTTGCCCCTGGCTCTGGCTGACTGTCCACCAGAGCCCCTGCCCTAGCCACACAGGACAGACATGGGGCACACTTGGGGACCCTATGGCCAGCTCTGCATGGCCAGCATGCCCATCACACCATGGCAGCCATGCTTCAGCAGTGCCCCTTGTTCAGTCCCTGTGCTTGGCTCCCAGGCCAGGACCAGGGGATAACCCCTCGTGCATCTCTGGGTGCACAGTACTGCACCCCATCCCAGCACCCGACCCTCCCTGCAGTCCCAGCATGGTGACTGGGGACTGTGGAGGACAGCTGGAGCCCTGCAACCAGCTTGGGACCCACCCCTGGGGCCCCATCCTGCACCTGCTGCATGCCAAGTCCCCTCCCCAGCCTGTCAGGGCTGTCAGCAGCTCCAGCTCTGCTTCAAAGGGGCCACAGCGCAGGGGGGGGGGGTGTGTGTCTTTCATTAATGGGGATGGGGGGAACATGAGCTCACCACCCCAGTGATGACAACGGTGACATTTGTGAGGCACGAAGAGACAGCAGGGCAGGGTGATTATCTGATAACCTTTTCTGGGAGATGCCAGGTGTGTGTACCAGTATGGGAGAGGGGGGGGAACACGACATTCCCCAGACTGGGAGCTGCTGGAAAACGGCTCCAAGTGCCCCATCCTGCCCTTTCATGCAAGACACAGAGACTGCCCCAAACTGAGGCCCACCAGCCCTACAGCCTGGGCACTCTGAGGACGGGCACCCCTCTGTGGTGCCTGCAGCACTGCCACATCCAGCTGTGTCCATCCCAAAGGGTGGTCCCAGGGCCCTGTTGCAGTGGGAACCCCCACAGAGCCTTGGGGCAGCCACCCAGCACGCCCTGCAAGAGTGCACGGGAGGACACACAGCATCCTCCTGCAAACGGGCAAGCAGAGGGGGATGCAGCTCTGGAGCCAGTTGCCAAGGTCCAGCTGGGAGCCAGGGCTGTGCAAGGATTGCCCCCGCACCGGAGCCAGGGCTGTGCTGGGAGCAGACGTGGGTGGCTTTTCTCACCTTCCCGGCAGGTCGGGGGGGGCAACCAGCACCACAGGGGGTCCTCATGTCCCCATGCATGGTGCCATGCTGCAAGGCAAAGGGGCCCTTCCCCAGAGGCGTTCCCACACAGGACGTGCCCCCTCCCTGCCCTGCAGACGGGGGCCAGGGGCCAGGGCCGGAGGGCCGGCAGTGAACAGGGGGTCTGTGTGCGGGCTGGAGGGAGCCGGGCAGCGCCAGGAGCTGCCGGGGGGGCTGGGAGGACGCCAGGGCAGCCTCGGCCCTGCAGCTGGGCCGGGAGCGCTGCCAGCTGCATTCCTGGGGCTGCTGGGCGAGTGGGAGTGTGTGTGGGCGCAGGGCAAGTGCATGGCCACCGCTGCCCCTGCCCACTGCCCTCCCCAACGGTCCCACGTCCCTGGGCCAGCTGAGCCCCACAGAGCCCCCAGCCATGCCCCAACCTCCCTTGGCCACCTCCAGGCAAGGCCACCCCCACAAAGCCGTGCTGCCAGCCCCACATTGTGCCCCATGCCAGGATGCTCTCTCCCATGATCTGCCAGACACCCCGGGACACGTGTCCCTGCATGGCCAGCCCCAGCATGCTGTCACCTCCTGAGGGTCCCTGCTCCATGGTGGGCACAACCCATGCCCAACACTAATGCAGCCTGGGAGCCAGAAGTCCCAGGAGCCTGGGATGCAGCCGGGACAGGGAGGATGAGAGGATGGGGAGGACAGGAGGGTGGGAGGGAACCCACTCAGCCCACCCAGGCCCATAGGATGCATCTCTGCCCACAGAAACAAGGTCAGCAGCACCCAAAGCTGCAGTGGGAGAGGGAGCAGGGACAGGATGTTGGAGGATGGAAAGAGGCAGACAGGACCCCTCTCAGCCATTTCCCAAGAGCATCCTGCTCCCCTGGCTCAGAGTTGCTCTGTGCTACAATCAGGCACAGATCCATGGAGAGGGCCCAGAGTGGTGAGGGGCCACCCCCAGGGGATGTCTTCTTACCATGCCACCCTGGCTGGTCGTCCCTGAAGTCTCCACTGTGGAAGGGGCAGAGCCCATGGCCCCGCTTCCGATCTCACTGTAGGGAAAGGTGACAGAGGCGGTGACACAGACAGCTCCCCAGAGTGACAGGCACAAGTGTCAGTCCCCCAGCCGGCTGCGCAGGTGCAGGATGGGGATGTGGACACTGAAGCAGCCTGCGCAGACAGGACACAAGGAATGGTGCCAGCTCCAGCTGCTCTAGGGCTGTCCCATTCCCCAGGGTACAGCCCAGATCTACCTCCCCTAGGACATCCTGGGTAGGAAAGTGTTAAGTATGCAATGGGGGTGCAGCAGGGAACCCTCCCAGAGAAAAGGCACAGTCTCAGCTCAGGGACAAGGCTGCCAGGACACCTGGCAGGGTGGGAGCAGGGAACAGACACCCCTCTCCTGGGACCAGCCCTGCTTCCCCCAGCATGGCCATGTTGCCAGGAGGTGACTCAGTGGCTCTAATGAAGGCATCGTGACAGACATGGGGACAAAGCCAGCTGGCAGGGAGCCCCTCACTCCCCACAGCCCAGCCAGACCCCTCACCTTCATCTGGTGGGATTCCAGCTGGCACAGGGTGCTCAGCACCTTCTTGGAAGAGACTGTGGGTACTCGGTCCTAGACCAGGCTGGGGCACAGGGCAGGCTGAGAGCTCCAGCTCTGCCCATAAGGAAACACTCCATGGACAAGAGTAGGACAGAATCAGTGGTGGCAGTGCCATGGGGACAGCCCAGGGACACCACTCACCCTCAGGGCAAGTTGTGCTCAGCGTCCGCACACTGGTAGCTCCATCGCACACATGCAGGCTCCCTCTGCCTCCACCTCTCTGCTCCTGCACTCAGGCCTCTCCAGGCCCTTGCCAACACAGTTCCCATGGCAATTATGCCCTGCCCCGGCCCATCCATCATGGATTAGCTATTTTCTATCAGGATTTATCTCCAGGCAATATCATTCCTGCTGTGACAGCCCCATGCCTCCATCACCCTCCCTCCTGCTACCAGGCAGCCCTGATAAAGGGCCACTCTATCTTATCGTGCTCCCCAGCAGTTACACATTAATGGTGCCATCTCCAGGGCTTGGCTGGGGCGGGATGAGCTCAGTGCACCCTCAGGCCAGCAGGAAGCATCACTGGATGATGTGGTGATGGGTGCTGCACCCAGCAGGGAGGGCATGGGCAGGGCAGGCAGGCTGCAGGCAAGTGCAGGTTGTGCGGGTGAGGTTCCCAGCATGGCCCCAAAGCAGATGGATCACACCATGGCTGGGGGGACAGTCCCTGCCCACAGCTAGGGGCAAAGGTCAGCTGCTATCGCTGCCTGCACTGGGCTGTTTGTTCTGTCGCCCATTAACAGAGCTGCCTTACCCGGTGAGCAGGGGACAGAGGCAGCCCAGGGCCCGTTGGCCAGTCAGGGTCATTGATTGTGGGAAGGGGAGGGTGTGCCCCAGATAACCCCTGCAGACAAATGGGTTTCTAATGGGGTCTTGAGCCTTGCACCCCTGGGCCCAGTCAATCTCCAAGGAGATGGGGAAGGTGGCCCCGGCAGGTCCCTCATCTTGCCCATGCCCCAGGCACCGGCAGAGCCTGGCTACAAGCCCTTTGCTGGGAGGTGTAACCCCAGCTGCAGCTGTGCCCAGCAGACCATGGGCTGCCCGAGGTGCATGCTGGCAGGGCCATCCCCGAGGAATAAGGACACTATGCCCATGGCATTGCCTCAGTATTGATGCCACACATGGAACCCCCAGTGCTGCCGCATGAAGCCTCTGGGGTGTCCTGCTCCTCCATCCCCTGCACCCCAAGCATCCCCAAACCCATATCCCGTGGGTTGCAGGAGACAGGGGGGTGGCACAGGGTAGGAACCAGGGTGCCCTGCCTCATGTGTGCCTCTGGGGTGCCAGGCAGGATGGGGGCAGAGAGGCCGGTGGATAACGGGAGCACCTTGCACCCATAGCACATCCCCATGGGGCAGGTGAACCAGCCCTTCCAGAGGGCATTGCCCCAGGGGCACACGGAACCGGGGTGGGCTGAGGGGGCTCCCCGGGAGGGTGAGGGGTGTGCAGTGTCATGCACCCACCTGGCTGCCAAAGCAGGGAGGGCTGGGGCAGCGGGGCGGGAGGGCGAGTGGCAGCGAAGTGGCCGGCGGGGCAGGCTGGCGTGGGGCC